GTCACTACAAATGGTAAAAGTAAGAAGCTTGTCTCTTGTCCGAACGCTGCAAGGGATATGTACCATAGGCTAGTTCCTCGCCATAACGAAACGTGCAGTATATACTACAGTCGTTTTGATATTCAGTACATATTTTTATATCAAATATTGAAAACTGTATCTTCATCAAAATGTCGCGAAAACTGCGTTTTTTTTATCCTTACAATAGAAAAAACAAACAACAAACTAGTTGAAAATGATAGTTTTCTTGCAAATCCAACTCATAACATTTGTAGTAACAGCACACAAAGAATATCTATATTCAAATATACTTTGAATTATGATGGTAGATAACATCTTATACATCCAATCAAAGTCATGCAATGCAGACTCACTGTTTTGCTCTGTTGCTATAATGATGTTTTCATATCATTTTGCACATGTCAGTTAAGCGAAATGTATAAATCAGAGTCGCAATTGTAGGAAAATAATAAAGAAATAAATATAATTTCAATGTTACTGATTTTTTCCCGGTGGGCAACGCAAAGGAAGAAGAGTCAGACGCATAGGAAAGGTTTTCGCTCCCTGAAGGGCGGCGCTCTTCGCAGCCTCTGAGATATTCGGTCGTAATAAAAGGAATGCCAGAATGTACTCGAATAGCGCGTTGTGTAATCCGTGTATGTATATATATATATATATATATGTATATATATATATATATATATATATATATATATATATATATATATATGTATGTATATATATATATGTGTGTGTGTGTGTGTGTGTGTGTGTGTGTGTGTGTGTATGTATATATATATATATATATATATATATATATATATATATATTATATATATATATATATATATATATATATATATATATATATATAATGTATATATAATTATATATATATATATAAATATATATAGATATATAGATATATACCTATATACCTTTATATATATATATAGATAGATAGATATATAGCTTTATACCTATATATATATATATATATATATATATATATATATATATATATATATATATATATATAGCTATATACCTATATATAACTAGACATAACCATATAACTATGCATATACATGCATACATGTATATATATATATATATATATATATATATATATATATATATATATATATATATATATATATATATATAGAGAGAAGAGAGAGAGAGAGAGAGAGAGAGAGAGAGATACCTATATATAACTAGACATAACCATATAACTATGCATATACATGCATACATGTATATATATATATATATATATATATATATATATATATATATATATATATATATATATATATATATATATTTATGTATGTATATGCATATATACACACTGTGTGTGCGTGTGTGCGTGTGAATCACTCACACAGATGTACCTAGATGCATAGATACATAGACATGGATATATAGATAGATAATCATACATGCGTACTTTAATATCACTTTTACACAGTGCATATGGAAAAAGAGACAATAGGTTCAACAGTGCATCAGTAAATATAAAACACCTAATTTAGTGTTTTAAATTTGAAAAAAAAAAAAAAAAAAAAAAGTGTCAGAGATTTTTTCTTTGTTGACATTACACGTGGAATATGCAAAATCAAAAGATAAAAAAAGAAATGCACTTAGTTGATTTTCTTGAATTAGAATGATGATCATTAAGTCTTTCATGGAGATACTGATGTTCTAAGATCTTTAAGAGGTTAGTATATGGATTATTACAAAAATGCAATCGATCAACGTGTGTTCGTTACCTCTCCTAAACTGAATATCAACTAATTTCACTAAGCTAGTTTTTAATTTGAAAAGGTAATATAGAAAATCAGAGATTTTTTTTAAATCATAAGAATGCCACCGTTTTCAAGACATTAGAGTGGTTTAGAAATAAATTTGAGTTCTTCCTAAAAACACTGTTTTCTATAGTCGACCCATAGCAGAAAATGTTAGATTTGTGTATATCTTTAGTAAATATAAACATCTTAGAAAATGCTGGAAATGAAATTTATGTAAATCACCTTATCGTCACCCTATCAGTTACAAGAAACATATAAGAGATAAAATAAAGAATATCATATGCATGAATACTGACTTCCGTGAATATACCATCTGTATGTTGATTTCACTAATTTTATTTGATTTCATAATTTTGTTCATGCATTCTAGCCTGTGAAATATTACAGTCCCTGCTCATTCTGTCAAACCTATCGAATTTATTTTCAAACAATAAAAACTGGTTTATTACTTTGACCTTAAGGCAGCCACTGCGAACATCTATGATGTTTATACATTTCTGACTTTAACCAGGTATAATGCAGCACATAATTTTTTTATTGTTATTTATCCAGCACCATGTAACTGACCAAGGAAAAGTGGCAAATATTCTAATATGTAAAATATTTAATATTGAATCCTGTTCGCCAATAAAGCTTTGAAGACCAATAAAGAGTTTTCTTTTGTTACTATAGACGCATGAGTATGTTGAATAATCCGTCGCCGGTTCTTTCATCTATAACCAGCTGGCTTCGTAAACATGGCGACTGTCCGGCTATTTTCACTCGGCAAAAATGGTAATATTTATAGAATATCATCGCAGTTTGACTTAATCTCATTGATTGATAGAATTTACAGATACTGTCCTTAACTTCTGTTTGCGTGCACAAGTAAATATTTTTCTGAGTTGTCTCGTGAATTTGAATTGGGTGTTGCATCATTAGAATATTAATAACATTTTTGCAGCATCTACTTTTATCTTCTAGTTTAATAATTCAACTTTGCAACTCAGTCTTTTGGAACTAAATTGCAGCTTCACAGGTGTCTTAGCAATGAATATCTGCAATATGTCACATTTAAAGCTAATGAAATTCCTGGTGAAAGTATTTCATAACTTGAAATAAAGAAAATGATAGTTAATATTATTAATCACCCTTCTGTGATTTCAAAAATTACTGCAGTGGGCTGCATAAGTAGCCGTTATCCCGGGCTTGCCACATGTAGGCCGGGCGTGCATGAACACTCGTGAGCAATGACAAGAATCCGTGTCTCCTCTTTGATAATTTATTTTGTGTAAGCTTTTTTGGTTATTTTGCCATTTTTAATGGCCATATTTGTCTTTTGATTTGCTTTATCCAGATGGTATTAGATTATTTTCCATGCACAGACTCTCCATGTAGTAAAGGTAAATGTTTACAATAGGACAGCACCCGTCAGAGACAAAGTCCCACCAACAGTGTTAGGGGATCCCGGGGAAATGCCATGCATTTTTAAAAGCAAATGAATGTGGGAAATTGGAAGTCCGATAGAATATTATATCATATGGTAAAGAAAGTGGAAAATATAAAAAGCCAAGAAAAGAATCGGCCACGGATGATTCAACATGGTGTTGCATGAACATATAAGCAAGTGAATCTCATTTTAAAGGCCAAACTACCAGAAGGATTGCTGTATCAACCAAAAACCTTCCTAAACCGGGGCAGACCCCCTCCCAATTGCCATATTTCCCTACTGGGGGCTCTAGCCCTGGTCCCCATCCTGAATGTCTAATTTCCCAACTAGTGCCTCTAGATAGCCACCAACTACATTTAGACATAAAAAAATGAGGGTAATTCTAGGTAAGACAGCCGCACCCATTTGTTATGTATTTTTTCTCCTACCTTCTTCAATCTTGGGGGACCCGTGGAAAATCTGGGGAAATAGTGGAATCAAAAGTGAAAAAAAAAAAAAAAATGCAAAATCCGAACGAGTGTTGCCAAAATCTCGACAAAGTTTGTTAACCTAACCTAAACTAGACCCCCTTCCCTGGGGTATTTCCATGCCGGGGGCAAGCCCCCAGACCCCCTTCCCTTGGGGGTATTTGGCCGAATATACGTTCTTAGCTCCCTACTGGGGGCAAGACCCTGGATCCCCTTTACTAGGAGTATTTCGCCGTACTTTACAGAAAACTCACAGCATTGTTTACATAAGAGATGGTTTGTGGACTCAGAGAGGCAACCTTTGCATATCGATTAAAGCACAACCTGTGAGGTCCCCACAATTTTATTAACTTCTCCAACATGTATGAACACGTCAATAATTCTATTATACTTTCCTTGGTATATGTAGAGCAGCTGTCTTAATTAGTATTGCCAAAATGAGTTTACCATAAAGTTGAAGGGATGGTGGGGAAGTGACGAACCTTTGACTAAATTCTACAACTGGAATACGGTTATTGTATTTCTCAGAGTTTAGTGTTCTCCCTGATATTGTAAAGATTTCAGTGAAAGATCGATTTCACTGCAGGGTTGGGGGAAAAAATGGTAACACAAGTAGCACTGTAAACATACTTCACTTTTGCAACAAACAATGAGACCTGTGACAACAGAACTTTCAAATTTACCAGGAGAGGGCAGCAATACGCAAGTATGGACGTACCATGTATTTCTAATGAAACTATGGTACATATATGTTAAAATTGATCACATCATGGATTTAAGGAATGAACATTTGATAAATGCATATTTTGTTAAAATTTCATATAAATTAGGATGCAGAAATACATACTACAGTGCACTTCTAAGAAATTGGCCATGACATCACAAGCTACATGTGCCAAAATAGTTTATATTGGGATGTGAGGACAGCTGGACTTTGTCGCTTGAGGTGCATGGGGACTTAGTCTCTATGCGGCATTCTGCACACCACATTTTCATTGTTTAACTCGAATAGGTTCACTTCTGCAAATCAATTTTGATAGCAATAAATGTAGTTTTTCATCACCTACAACATTATGATCTTCAATTTTCCCCTAGTCAGTGCGGTCCTACCATAAGCCTTATCCGTAGTATATAACTATATGTATGTAACATTAATTAACATTATTTACCTCATATATTTTATTTTTTTGTAATGTTTAATTTTCGGTAATACATCCTGCTCCGCTGATCACAGCAACCAAGAATATGATTTTGAGCTTGGAAATGGTGTCCTCCCTGGAGCCAGCGCTCTTCCAGTCACGGCTTACACATATTACATTCCACACTCATGTATCAATGGGGATAATGTAAAAGCCCCCATCTAAATGCCAAATGTGTCTAATCACTCTCCAAGAGGTTTGTGCTCTTGTGATGAGTCTTTTCCATCACCCTGGCCTTCGTTCATGACTGCATGTTCATGTCACCTGACCCTCGACCCAAACTTTTCCATGGCAGCATGATCATGTCACCTGGATCACAGGGGTTAAATTATATATGTACAGCTTGAAGCAGTAAGGTGCAGTCTGGAACCTGAAAGTCCTGGCCTCTGGTCTCTACATTTTGTATATGATATTCCCCTTGTAATCATATCTTACACCTGCAGTGTAATTACTGGTTTATACTAAGGTATCCTACAGTGAATATAGTATATTAAAGTCTTTAGCAGCATACTTCATATCCTATCTTAGCAGCAATAAATTTTAACCAATGTTTATATTTTGCAAATATTGTTATTGGCTCAGACCAAAAAATTTACTTCATTTTTATTAAGTTTTTCCACATATAGTGCTTGAGTCTTCATCTTGAACACATTTAAACATTCCTTTTTAGGGTCAGGTGTCCTGAGGTCCTGCATACGTGGAGCAACTGTAACCCAAACTCGCTCCAACTACAAGTATGTCACACAAGAGGATCCGAGTATGGAATGGAAGGATATCACAGACCGTGCAGCTGCAACGATCTTCTGGACTGAGCTGTGGAGAGGTTAGTAGCTGTGGTCCTTACTGTTAGTCTTGTCCTTTGTATGCGTTCAGTTTCTTTTTCTCACAATATTGGTTTTGATTATAATAATTGTCAGTGCTATTCTACATTATAGTTTAAGACAATAATTTTGCCTTTTTGTTGTAAAAAGCTGTTTCAGGTAAGAGACACAAGATAAAGACTTTTTTCTTTCATTTGTCTCACATGTATTTGTTTATTTATTTATTATCTAGATAATGTTGAGATATCCCAATTTGCTCTTTTAGTAGCCTTCCATAGCATGGAAACCTTATGTAAGATTTTATTGTAAATGCAAAGATGGATTAGAATTCTTTAACACTCATGTAATGTAATGGTGTCCTGTGCCTCTGACAACTAAGTCAAAATACTGTTGACTGGTGTTAAGCGTGGTAATGCATTGAAAGAATATCTCAAACATCAGCCATGCTTTGTATAAATATTTGAAATTGCCTAATTCCAGTCTTCTTTTCATAGGTGCTGCTGTAACACTAGGTCACATCTTCAAGGAACCAGCAACCATTAACTACCCATTTGAGAAAGGACCCCTGAGTCCACGGTGAGTTAGTCTGACACAGGGATGGCATGTTCATACATATCTTGCTTACTTTTATTTTAGTGTATTAATTTTGTATGCACATAGATGGCTCTACAAATGCTTAATCATCAAGGACTCATTACCCATCCTACCTGATCTCACCTGTTTAACCTTTTCATGTTTTTCAGAGAACTTTATTTTATTTTTATTTCTGTTTGTATTGTTAACAACTTGTTAGTGTTATTCACAAAATTGGAGTAACAATGCTAGTAATGATAGATGAAGCTAACTGGGAAATTGCTGTATTTTCTCATTTAAGTGGACCCATTCCGAATCACCATGTTTCCTAAGCTTGGGCTCCGCCCCCAAATTGCCCTCCCAATTGACATATTTCCCCAGTTGTGGGCTTCAACTCTGAACCCCCTCCCTTTTGCTACATAAACCTTGCACTTTCCCAATTAACCCATTCCGTAACTGACTGTTGCAATACCATAATTACAATATTCTGTATATTTAAAGATGCAAATTTGGTGAACCTTATTTTTGAAGGAACTGGGTTTTGCACAGTCAGGGGAAAAAAACTATCGTTACCCATTACACAAACTAATATGAAAAATTTACAAAGTGCTCTGGAATAGCAAGGCAATCCAGTTGGCACCTTCTACAACTGACTATGGCATATACTTAGCAATAACTGTCCTTTACATAAATAAATACATTATTGTAATTTAAGGTAATCAATACATAACCATACATTTGCTCATATAATTTACCAGTGCTTTTGATTTGTACTAGATTCCGTGGAGAACATGCTTTGCGACGTTATCCTTCTGGGGAGGAACGCTGCATTGCTTGCAAGTTGTGTGAGGCCATTTGCCCAGCTCAGGTGAGTAAGGAGTCAGGCAGATCAAATTTTAGTAATTATAATTCACAAATGAGATTTACTGAATTATACTATAAAAAGTGGCAATATTCCCTCCATAAAATAAGAAATAAGGAATTGGGATTTTTATATTAGATAAGATTTTTTGCTCTTCCTAGGCCATCACCATTGAAGCAGAGGAACGTGCTGATGGTGCTAGGCGCACCACTCGGTATGACATTGACATGACAAAGTGCATTTATTGCGGTTTCTGCCAGGAGGCATGCCCTGTGGATGCCATTGTTGAGGTTAGTACTATTTTTTTAACAAGTTTGTGATTTATTTAGGCATACTAACCTCAGTGTTCTTCAGAGGTGGATAGTAATTTTTTTATCATGGTTTTTGATGTGATGTGAACAAATTTGTTTGTACTTTGTGAATCTGTTGAGAAATTTCCAATACATTACACCCCACCCCTAAGAGGGTTATTTATCAGATTCATGTAAAACATCAAAAACCATTGGAAGAAAACAGGTTTCCACTTAAGCAGTCTTTCCCAGACCACACCCTGAGGCCACTTTGACATTAGGTAAACTTAGTTTATCCTTTTCTAAGGATATCCCAAACCAAGGGGGCATCACCCCCTGGACTCCCTTTAAGGCCATTTTATGATTACCATCAGTTAAATGGAGTGTAGTAAGGATGAAAACAATGGTGAGTTAATCTTATTTTATTTTTTTAATGCATATCTGAGACTGTTACTATGCATCTGACCCAATATTGTCACGGAGGAAAAGTTCTTAATTTTGATGAGGAATTACAATGAAATTGATTTATCTAATTTTAGTAAAGTCCATGCATTAGGCTTATTTGAATGGCAACTCTCACAGGTATGTGGCTTGTAGGCTTGGCTCATACAAATACTTATGCACAGAATCAAGATTCCTGGCTTTCCCCTGCCATTTACTTGAGATGTGACAATAATATCCCATGGCAAGACATTCCCATCACCCACCCCTCAGCCAAATTTTTCCATGACGAGACATGCTTGTCACCCCCCCCCCCTCAGCCAAATTTTTCCATGACCAGATATCCCAATCCTGGATCCAGTGGGTAGTTGTAGTAACTTGTAAAACAATACAAGAAGAGAGTTAGTGAGTGAGTGAATAAGAGGTGAGTGAGTGAATGAGAAGGTGAGTGAGTAAGTGAATGAGAGAGTGAGTGAATAAGTGAATGAGAGGGTGAGTGAGTAAGTAGGTGTGAAACTAAGTGAGATAGTGAGAGGGTGAGTGAGTAAGTGAGAGAGTGAGTGAGAGTAAGTAACAGAGTGAATGATAGAATAAGTGTGAGTGAATGAGAGAGTATGTGAGTGGGCGAATGAGAGACTGAGTGAGTTGGTGAATGAGAGACTGACTGAGACTGAGTGAGAATGAGAGACTGAGTGAGTTGGTGAATGAGAGACTGAGTGAGTTGGTGAATGAGATAGTGAGTGAATTGGTGAATGAGATAGTGAGTGAGTGAATGAGAGAGAGAGAGAGAGAGAGAGAGAGAGAGAGGGAGAGAGATAGACTGCGTGCATGAGTGAGTGAGAAAGAGAGAGTGTGAGTGTGAGAGTGTGTTTGTGAGTGTGAGAGTATGTGTGTGTGAGTGTGAGAGTGTATGTGTGTGAGTGTGAGAGTGTGTGTGTGAGTGTGAGAGTGTGTGTGTGAGTGTGAGAGTGTGTGTGTGAGTGTGAGAGTATGTGTGTGTGTGAGTATGAGTATGTGTGTGTATGTGTGCATGTGAGTGTGTGAGAATGAGTGTGTGTATGTGTGTGTGCGTGTGAGTGGGTCATTGAAGCCATGATTGAGAGTGAAAGTGTGAGTGAGTCCATGAGTAAGAGTAAGAGTGAGAGTGAAAGTGTGAATCCGAATGTGCCCAAACAGAAAAGGACTAGTTTGACTGGCATCAGCAAAGATTTAGTTTTTCTCATGTCATTTCATGTTTGAACATGTTATGTATATCCTTTTTTCTTTATTTTCTCTCAGCATTTAGTATTACTACTGTGATTCATACTATCACTACTGCAATATAACCTTCAAAATTAATATATTCATTATGTGTCATATGTATTTGCGGAAACTCACCTATGCTAAAAAGTAATTGTTTTAACTTTGTTTTGTTTTTATATTCAGGGCCCCAACTTTGAGTTCTCTACTGAGACCCACGAAGAACTCCTCTACAACAAGGAGAAATTGTTAAGCAATGGCGACAAGTGGGAACCTGAAATTGCAGCAAATATTCAGGCTGACCACCTTTACAGATAAACATGTTTAGAAGATATTTGATGGTGTCTCATAACTTTGTTTTCTTTGGATTATGTGTATGACAAATTTCAATATTTCACTCAGATATTAAGAATAGGTGAAAAGGGGGCAGCAATGTGATGTGTTCTTAAACATTCAGATTCATTTACCAATATTTTCTTTTTCTTTGTAGCACTGGTGTAGATTATTGATATACTTTTTATTTCCTTTTTTTTTTTTTTTACATATTTTTTTAATCAACTGTGAAGTTGTAATCTGAGGTTTAGCAACCTTTTTCATTGTGCTCCCTTTTTAACCACATTTAAGCAGTAAAGGAAATAGTAAATCATCTTTGTGAAATATTGAAGCATATACATAACTGGGTAGATGAGTTTGAATCAAGGTGGATCAGCTAATGGCAACCTTAAGACCACAAGATAAAATGTTTTGAATATGTATAGTTATTTAATGTATATAGAAAGACCAATTTTCTCTTTATTCATTATCCTTCATATAACATGGGTGTTTTCTTTGAATATAAAGCCCACTTGTAACTGGATTAATGAAGCTACATGGTAGGCACAGAATCCACTGATCAAGGGAAAAATTAGAAGTATGGAAAAGATAAAATTACTCTGCTCTTGGCTACAGCACCAAGGATTGTTTAGGTAATGCAGGTGAAGAGAAGCTTAAAGCCTACTTTCAAGGGACTATTTATTCTCAACAACCACCACCAGGGCCAAACAAGTGTGCTACACCTGGTGTGACATCCTCCTCCTGGCTTGAAGGTTAGTCTGCCATGACATGAAAGTTAAACCAGTTAAATAACATGCTAGACACATGGTGTTTATATGCAATGCTATGCAAATTTAGCTGCTTTAGTGAAAAAAAAATTGAAGCATGAGACATCTCTTTTGCCCCCTACTCTTGGAGTTTTGTTGATGTGATAGTAAATGAGGTTTGAAAGACTTACAGCCTACTTTGAAGGGCTTTACTTCCTCAGTTACTGCAGTTATGTCCAAAAACAAATGTGTAGCAAACACATAGAACAGGCTTAGGGGACCGTCTCTAAAAATGGGGGGGTTGGGTTTGTCAAAAATGAGTAAAACCCATTTTAACACTCGTATGGGAATGTAGAATTTCCCTCGTAAATGTAAACTTAGGTGAAGAAAAGCTTGGCTCTGATGGTGTTTGTGAATCCTAGCCAGTCAATTGCAGAATTGGCAATTTTTACACATGTATTTTCCCCTCCTGGAGTGAAAATGAAACATTGCATTTTGACATTACCTACTGAAATAAGTCATGGGAGGATAAAAGTGTCTTATGATAACAAATTCCTACTAATGTGAGGGTTTTAGGATGAAAAAAAAATCTAAAATTGTTTCAATTCCTTTTTAGTAATGTACTTGTAGTATCAATAAAAGTTCCTACATGAAACATGCTGGCAAAACATAACAAAAATATACTTTTGCTTCAGTGCAAATGCAAGTGTAAAGAACACATACATTACTGCTGTGAGCACTTGAGCTTGGAATAATAATTTTTCTTCATACTACTATCAGCAGAAAATTGTATTCTTGATCCATTGTGAATGTTCTTAAGAGTAAAACAACCATATCACTTTACAAAATCTATTTTTAGCTAAACTATATGACATATTTTAGTTAATTTTTTCCAACAATCTTATTTTCTTTCAACATGAGTAAGATTATATTAAAAACTGTAGTTTTTTAGAGTTTTAGATACCAAAGAAAATATTTTGTATTCACAAAAGCTACAATACTCCCTGGCACACATCAAAATGATACTGAAAATACTGAGAACTTTTTCTCAAATTGCTTTCTACATTGCCAATTCAGATATGGGAAAGAATTGAAAAAGAAATTTGTATTTTTTATTTTTATTACAAAATAGTAAGCTCTAGCCTAAAACAGTTAGTTTCAGCCTTTGAAGCCTTATCACTTTTGTAAAATGATTTTAGGCACTATAACTTGCAATGCAGGAATACTTCCACAAAATTAACAAAACACTTGCCCATACAAAAAATATCACTAGTTTAGTCACTGGAAGAATATTCAAATACACAGCACTTATTTCAGTCTCCGTAAAAATTTTCGCCAATATATGTGAACAAGCACTGCATGTGACACCTGGATTATACAGAAATGTGTATATACATAATATCAAAGTTGCTTAAAGAGTGGTATCTGCTTTATACACCATCAGACTGAATACTGCTAAGCACAAAGTATGTCTAAACTGCCACACAAAACCTCAGATCTTATTCATGCCCACAAAGAGCCTCCAACCATTCAACCAGATTTGTTCACTGCTCTGGCATGAAACACCTGGGAGAGATATTAGAAATGGGCAGCTATTGTTATTCTAAATATTATTTTACCACGTGTTGCTAAGAAAAGCAAACAAGTATATACCCAAAGGTGATAAAGGTAACAAATCATAAACCTTTGGAAAGATGTCAGAAACATAACCTCAAAAACTTTTAAAAAACAAGAAAACAGTATATAATATATAAAAGTATTAGAAAGCAAATATGCCTATTTCCCATTATAAGTTAGAAGGACAATTTTTCCTCCTTAGAGTCTATATACAACCATTTAGCAGTTCTATCTGAGTAACCCACACACACAACTCATGATATTCAATGATGTAGTAGACAAGTGTGACTAATGCTGCAAATATACAGCAAAAAGAAATGCCTTATCACGATGTTGCTTAGTCAACCACAAGGTGTCTAGTGAGCCACCACATCATGAGTGGCTGAAGGCCCGACATGAACAGCAAGAGATAGAGGCGGCGTTTATTACCCGCACTGTAAGCTTCCATGGCTCCGTCGCCTCCCTGGACCTGCCATCGCAAGGTTCGGAACTGTGGGTAGAAATGTCAATATAATTCAAGGATGTTTTGGCCACATTTCTTCAAAGTAATACATCTAATTATCTCTCAACTGTCTATCTACTCAAACACACATGTACATACATATGCAAATTTGAATTATATTTAACAAATTGAAAACAGCATTAATACATTTAAATATTAAAATTTTGTACTCACCATGAAAATTACAAGGCTGAAGCTACTGTATGCAAGGACAAGGTAGTATCCAAGGTCATCGATTATCCCAGCCAGCAGGGCGATGTTCATCCTGGGAAGATGAATATAAAAATAATATTTTTTTTTACACAATGTTAAAGATGAATCAGTCTACTACTAAATAATTTAAAATACAGTGACCTAGAGAAAAAAACAAGTTTTATACTTACCCAACATATTTGTATGACGAAAAAGCCAAGAGGTCAAAAGTCTTGATGTTTGTACTTATGGCAGTAACATAGAGTGTGGCCAGAATCAAGAAGATCTCAAGTACAAGCCAGACCATTGCTGAGCTTGCCTGCATGCCTAGTACATCAGGAGAAAACCTGCAAGAGGAGACCAGATACCTATGAGTTATAGCAATATGGTGAGTTGTGTTGTACATTGTATGTCTATGTAGGTATGGGTATAGGTGTAGATGTGAATACCAGTTTATATAATTGAGGAAGTGTGAGTGTACACATATATATATATACACACATACATACATAGAAACACATACATAGAAACATTGTAGGTACAGAGATAAACAGATACTCAAATATATAGATAGAATTGTAGATAAACAGACTGTCTTACATTTATAAACTATAAATTGCATAGATTAATGAAAGTCCAACATTTAGTCATAATTGGATTACATTTTTGTATCCTCTCGTAACAGTTAATTTTACACGGATTTCGTTTGAAAAAATATATATATATTCCAAAAGATAACAATCACTACAATTTGAATTTTATGACTTTTTTCCAAAAGGTAACAATTATTATAATCTAATTCAAATTTGTTGGATTTATGCACAAAGCTATTGCCTACATCATTTACATAAATAAATTCCAAGTATTTTACCACTGCCTCAGAATGAAAAAAATACTGATGTTAAAATTCTCTTTTTACACATTTGAATTACATTCTCATACATTTCCCCTCTTACATTACCACACAACTGCTCCTTTTACTTCTATTTTCAAGGTACATCTTTGCCCTGGTACAAGCTACTTACAATCACCCTAGCATAAATACATTCTATTACAATATAAAAAGTGAATTGGCAGGGTCAAGCTAGTAAGCACTGACCACAGACTCAACACAATTTTAAAACCTTTAACCTTGTATACAAAACATGATTAGTTTACTGTATGCTAAAATCACTATTTCCATGCCATAATAAGAGTAATATTGCATAAAATAACTTAGGGGAACTTTCATCAGGGCCAGCAAAGGAGAGAGCCTTGCAATGTCACAAAGGTATTTTTGGGTCATGTAATATCCATTTTTTAAATGCACTTCTTTTGATAATTAATGTTTTATTTTTCAGTAAACCTTTCAACTGAAGTATTAAAAATTGGCTAGTGGCCAGTAATGTGGGTTTATTGACATGCATTGGCAATTTCCCCAGTTTGTGCCCAGCTTGTTCAGTGCTTCAAGTACAACATCAGGCACCTAACAGCTTCTGGCTGTATTTTATACACAGGTTTCCCTTAACTTTCAGTGCCTATATCTATAAGTGACACTAAACAAATGATGATGCTACTATCAGAGAGATAGGCTCCCTCCAATAAGCTGAGGAGCCATCTACGAATCAGTCCACCACAGCCTTTCACGAACAAAGGGTTAAGAATGACATATCCAAGTATCTTCATAAAAAAGATCTATCTATAGCTAAGACATCCTTAAAAATGCAAGCAACAAATTTTCATACAAGTTGTGCTTGTAGTAGGTGTTCCTTAAATCCAATTTGCATCTGCAACAAAGTATCTTCTCATTTTCAAAGCTAACCTAAAGGACCAATCTGTACCAGCAGCCTTAAAATATTCCTTGCACAATTCACAAAATGAAGAAGGAATCTGTGCTCACAAAAGCATCATAACCCATTGCCATCAGGAACATGAAATAACCACTATAGTTTGGTTTTGTGAATTGTCTGTTTATACAGATGTCTTTATAAATGTCCCACAAACATGGAGTCAATTTGTAGGCTTATGTGACCCCATCTGATTTCCCCTTTCCTTGAGTTTATGGAATAATAAACATTCTAGTGCTATTAATATTAGTATTGTTATTATTATTACTGACATTATGATTAGCATAATGTCAACAATACCAATACCAACAAAAATACAAAAAATTATATTTCCAAAAACAAGACAATGGTGAGATACGTAAGACTAAGAATTGACTCTTGGAAGACTATCCATTTGAGGAACCATAAATGTGTAAACACAATTAATGAATTAAGCTCACAATGGACATGGCATGTACTTACATGCCATCCCTGTCAACAATGGGTTAAAAGTTTAATGTTATTCAGTTAACCCTTAAAAGATGGGTATGGCAATGCCATCATCATGTAATGGACTATGACGTATATACAC